CTAGTATTAATAAAATAATCATTCCAATTGCATTGGCAGCAAACTTTTGTCATCCAAATTATCAAGGAATTTTATGTGTAATGGCCCTTACAGGATAAAGAAATTTTTGAATTTTTAGTACTTTTCTATTCTAGGCCAATCAACAAGCTTAAAAACTTTGTTGACAAATGTAATTTGCATTTCTACAAACATAATAGTATACTTCGATAAATATTATACGTTTTATACGTATTTTATACGTTTTTTACGTATTTTACCGTAAAAAACTGTAAAATGTAAAAAACTATAGATAATGCTCGAATAACTCAACCCTGCGGAGCATAGACCCAGAATATAGGCGAGGGGGGTGAAGCCGAAATGCGGGGGGCAGTTGTGCCTAATTTTTATTGGCTACGATTGTGCGCATGCTCAATACTGCTTAACCTTTCAGATGGTTGACAGATTTCAAATTATCTTACGCAGCAATTTGGATTACAAGTGATTTGGCAATCGTCAGCAAATAACACAACTACACAAAAAAAAAATGTTCTGGCCTGGGGGTCAGACCATGTTTACTATATGGTTTTGGGGTCGCTGAAACCGAATCCGAAGTCCATTTAACCCTATTACATCAGGTTTTGGACATAATCTCAAACAACGTATAATTCAAGCCCAATTAGCTAGTTATACCAAATATATTAAACCAATTAACTCTATAACCCCTTAATTCTTAAACCCCATAACTCCTTAACTTTAAATTCCAATAACATTATAACTCTCATAGCATAACCTATCATGGCCCAGCATTTCTACAAGACTCATCTCGCACAAGATCAGTCATTTTCGACTTGGAGACCAGTGTATTGAACTATTTTGTATCATCCCAACAAAATAAATGATCTACACAGCGAGGATATTTCCACACATGTTGTTGTTTATTTTCCCGAGCTACCTCCATATCCAGAGTAGTGTCTCATCTGTGTTTGCATCCAGGGCACCTCCACGCGGTGACGGCGGGCAACGGAGTAATTCCGTTATCCGGCTGAGTCCCTGGATCACGGCGTATTTGATGGACCACAGAACTAATCACAGAAATCAGAACTATGTCTAGAGATACTACTTTCGTTAGTATAATGAATCGATTGGAAAAAGAAGCCTGGCTTAGTTTCAAAGCAGTGGCCCAGAACTTTTTGGGAAATACAAAAAGTCCTGAATATAAACAAATTGTTGCAAAAATGATTACAGACTTTCAAACGCTTGGATGTCTGATGAATTTAAAATCACATTTTTTGCACTCCCACCTTGAAAAATTTTCTGACAATCTTGGAGACTTTAGCGAAGAGCAGGGCGAACGATTTCACCAGGATATCAATGTGATGGAAACTCGTTACCACGGAAGATGGGACAAAAATATGGCAGATTTTTGCTGGATGCTAAAGAGAGACGCACAGAAAGATGCTAGAAAGCGCAAACGGAGCCCATTGCACAGATCTTTCGATCAAAAAAGAACCCGTTATAGTTCGAAAAAAGAAAATTTTACTAAAATTTTATATATCTGTTATTTGTTATTTATTTATTTATTTATTCATTAGTTTACCTTTAAAATAGCTCTTATAAAGGCTATATGGTGTACAAAATCCGTTCGTGCAACCTCCTCGTGGTGTACATTGGGTAACGCTAATGTCGACGGTTCCACATTTGTTTTCTGAGCATACGATATAAGATTATGGGTTTACGAGGTTATAGGGTTATTGGAATTTGAAGTCAAGGGATTAACGGGTTAAGAGGTTCAGAGTTATAGAGTTGAGGGGTTATAGAGTTAATTGGTTTAATATATTTGATATAACTGGCTAATTGGGCTTGAATTATAGGTTTTTTGAGGTTATGTCCAAAACCTGATGTGATAGGGTTAAATGGATTTCGGATTCGG